GAATAAGACAAATCTGAGATATTTTTGGAATATTTTGGAAAAAGACAAAAGTGATAATTGTGGATAAGACCGAGGAAGTTCGATCGATCTGAAGGAAGTTCGATAGATCGAAGATGGAAATTCTTTGAGCATAAAGACAAGGGGTCTGATCCATCTTGGTGAGGTGAGATCGATCAAGGTGAGATTGATCGAAAGTATTCCTGATCGATCGAAGTTTGCTTATTTCCACCATTTTGCTTCCATTTTACTCCATTCTTCCATTTAACTTTAGATTGCATCTTTTATGCTCTAATTTGGCTGAATTGACTTATTTTGCGGATAAGCACCTGAAAAGGGCAATAACATGAAATTAGTCTAAAATAAGAAAGTAAGATAGATAAAGGTCCTAGAATACTCGAGTTTAAGGGGTTTAAATGCGCACTTTTCAGCGCTCATCATATTGTTTTGGAAAAGAGAGTCAAATTCCTTATGCAACTCCTACCTCCTTGTTATTGGAAAGAACTTATCATAAAACAACTCTTTAAAAACATTCCATGGCGGTGTCTCTACATCTACCCTATTAGACACAGACTTCCGCCATAATTTGACATCCTTTGTGAAGTTATAAGTAGCCAAAAGAATCTTCAAGTGATCACTAACTACTACCATAGCAGAGATATGCTTTTCAACCTGATCAAACCAGTCATTTACAAATAACAGATTTGCACTACCCCTCAAACAGTGTAGGCATAAGCCTAACAAATCTGCACATAAGCTTGAGACGTCTCTCTATCTCAATTCCCTCTGCGGATACCACTGGCTGCAGAGCCACCTGAGGTATCGGCTGTGACCTTAATGTATCCTGAAAAAGAGTAGTTAGCACCCATCTGGCTGTCTCTTCACCCCCTTCTGTAAGTGGTGGTAAACCTTCCTGTCTAATTGGGTGAGATGCGGAACTCTCCCCAACATGTCCAACAATAGGCCTATCTCCCAAGCCTCCAAGTGTTTACTCTTCCGATGAGGTGGCATATTACTACACAATAAAACACTCGTCAAGAAACAGCGATACTAATAATAGTCCCAAACTGACACGTCATAAGTTAAAACCTTTAAACATATAGCATGCTTCATTTTAAACAAAAAAAAAAAAACACGTAGTCACGTAAATACATAAATATACTTACAAAACAAGTAATAAGTAACACATAAGCATGTGAGACAATGCAGGTCACTACACACTTACTGTAGACAGACCTCTACTCGTTGTCCCTAGGTTTAAGAAACCACCTTAAACCTTTGTCACACACCAAGACTGGAGTCTGGATTGTGAACATAATACTTGGAAAATAAGGTCTCAACAACCTAAACATCCCTGTAACCTATCTCACCATGCAAGTCTACTTACCCATTCCCATCGTAATACCGTATATGAAAATATACAGGTAGGATACATATATTACAACTTTAAAGTCTCAACGTATGCCATAACATTTATTACATAATAGGGATGTAACTGAACCAACAATATACAACATTGTCCCACGAATATACATTGGTTGTTATACAAAAGGAAAACACTACAACCACCAGTTCCAACTCTATCTAAGGCTGGGGAGGAACGCCCTCTACGACCTCATTGCCATGACCTGAAAAGATTGTGTATAAAATATGGATAAGCACAATAGTTCAATAGGAGTTGCCTAAAGCATACTCCTTAATATCCCCGTGAATCCAAACATATAATAGATATAAAATAAAGGGATTATACAAGCTTGGGAAAATAATATCATGTGATACAATAAAATGAAGTGCAATGCAATGCTAATGCCAATGTCACTATCACTTCCTAACTTCCCGAAACACCAACCAACAACACACCTCAACGGTTAATGTATCCGGCCCAGAGTAATCCCCAGCACCACGAGAAGAAAACTAGTCATCTATCCTTGACCCAGAGTAATCTCCAGCGCCATTTGGGGTATAGTGACTTAACCATATGCAGGGTATGTCCCTACGTCTTCTCTAGATCCATTAACGACCTAGATATGAGGTAATCCCCGTCATTTGACTTTCACATTATTCACTTCTAATTCTTTTCTCAACAATCATCTAATGAGATGTCTCCACTTTAATTTCCATCCCAAATTCATCCCCAAACCATGCGAGATGAATGTACATTTATAATGATACAATATACAGCATTCTAAAAATAACAATTCAATCTCTGTTCCATGCAGAATAAACTTTATCAACCCAGTCCTTTCAAAATACTAGTGTGCTCAATAACAAAATTAACACAACATAATCACCTCATGTTCTTGATTTCATTGTTAATACACATAACACATTAAGCATGCTTCTTTTCACCCATTTATAGTACAATCACAATAAAAGGATTTAAAATCAATAGAACTGACTGACCAAAGGTAAAGATTATGCAATTTAGAAAACCCTATATCAAAAGAAGCTTGAAACCTTGCTAAAACAATTCAAATAAACCCAAAGGATGAATTAAAGCCATCAAATTTGGAAGAAAATGAAGAATACCTCTATGAATTACAACCATAGCCCTTCTCTTTAAATCCACCTTTGGTAATCCAAACAGTGAGGAAATGTTGGCAACTTTTATATCAAAAGGAAGTTTATAATTCCAGGAATGTTTTTCATTCGCAACGCCCCACCAAATTCCTTACACAAGTACCTCAAATTTACATGTAAAAGAAATGACTATGGAGGGACAAGAAAAGAGCCGAAAGAAAACAATGAAGAAGAAAATAGAAGTTTGCCCAACTCCTTCAATTTCTATACATGAATATGCCACCTATATGCATAAGTGTCAAGCCACAAAATGGTCAAAAGTATTACCTCCTTGAATGACCACAAGGCCCTCCAATATTTACCAAATTCCCTCCATGCCATTTGCATAATAAAAGTCTACTATGCCCCTTAAGCATTTCCAAATACCAATTATGTCAATTGCATAATAAAACCCCAATAATGCCCCTCATAAAATAAACAATTGACATTAAAAAAAAAATTAAAATAAATAAATAAATAATGAAAAGGAGCAAATCATCACAATTTCAGCAAGTGAATTCAGTTTCTTTTGAATTTTCTACTTTATTTTCATTTATTTTCAAACCCCTTGTTAAAATTTCTAGGATTGGCCCCATTGCCATTCCTTCTCCTATTTTGTCTTTTGCAAAAACTGATTAAATTGCCTAGTTATAAAAGGCACATCTTCATCAGAATTTTCATCAACAGAATTATCAACTTGAGTTCACTTTAAAGGAAAATTCTTTTCCTTTTGATTTAGATGAGACAAGAATTTAAATAAAAACTATACTTCAAGATATATAATATCTCAATTTTCACATTTGAGGACTTACTGAACTAGTTTTCCCAACAGACCATCAAAATGATTCATACGTTATTTGTGGCTGCTGTATGGAGTATTCAGTAAGAGAGAAATCGAAGGCTTCATGGTCATTTATCTAGGTCTCATCAAGAGGTGGCTAGACAAATTTTGCTGGAAGTTTTAGATATCTATATTGCTAATATTCATTATTTTCTTTAGACAGCATACATTTGTTTTTATTTTGTATAGGAAATGGTCCTATTCTTAAAGTCTTTATACTGGCCTTTCCAGAACTACTATGAGGGTATGCCCTCTGTGCACTTGTAATTATCTTTCCATACATATACAAACACCAATTCAAAATAAAATAAAATAAAATAAAATAAAATAATTTCAATGGTAAACAAGAGTAATCCGAGTAGAACATTTATATATATATATATATATATCCATAGGTAATCATCCATACCCATCAAACCTCCTATCCAAATAGTCCATGTGACCCTTTGGGTTTGGGTTGGTACATTACTACTATCCAAATCCATCTTCTTTTTGGACTTTTTGTACCGTTAGACGATCACAACTGGGGATTCTGATTGTTGGCTTTGGATTCCCTACCCTTAAGGTCGCTTTGAGGTGAGGTCCTTTTTCAGGTGTCTTACAATAGGCGCTGGTTTTGACAACGAAAATTATCAATTACAAATTTATATCTCACATTATTCACCTTTTGCATTATTTGGGTTAAGTTTGAATTATCCCGCAACTCAACCCCAATTTAGTTGGATTTCTAAGTCAATTTTAATTCCAAAAAAATTATACAACTTTGCTACAAAGTTGGTTCCGGCCCAAATTACACCCCAACTTTTCAGTAGTTATTGTAGTCATGATACAAATAATTTATAAAATAATGAAAGATGAGAAAAGATAAAATTGCTGAAGGGATCCCATGAAAATTCCTAGTTGTCTGACCAAATTAATGAAAGTAGTAGTATAAGATTAAAAGCGGTCATAGTGGATTGGGTAAACAGATTATTACATGCACTGTATCTGACCAAAGAGATTGAAAGCGGTCATAGTGGACTGCGTCAACGGATTAATTGGTTTCATTTGTTTTATAAGTTAGTCAATTTAAGTATATTATTACTATCATGTTTCTACAAGCCGCGTTAAGTGCAATAATATAAACAGAACAGTCTTTAGAAATATCAAACCTCATTTCACCTGTGGTTATGTTCAAACTCCATGCATAGGGATCATGCAAGGATTTTTAATTATTATTTTTCAAATCTATTATTATTATTATTATTATTATTATTATTATTATTATTATTATTAATCTTTCACTGAATATATTTTTCTGATAGTCAATAAAATTGACTTGCAATATATTTAACAAAAATATACATATGACTTGGCACATGGCATTATAACTCCAAGCCGATGACTTGGAACAAAGATTGGTTGGTGCTTGGTCGTACATCTTTCACTAGGTGTTCAATGGTAAACAAGAGTCATCCGAGCCCCCTATATATACTAAGCCTTCCTATCTCCCAAAACCATCACCAACAATTAAAACATCTTGCTCTTGTTCATCTATTATTGTGCGTTACTTCTCATTTCACCCAAAATCATCCTTTGTATCAATCATTTCTCGAAAAAGATCATGGAACTTGAGCAACCCATGTTGAAAGACACTCCTCGTGACCCAACGACGGATCTACTCCATGTCAAGGTCATGAATATGACAAAAGCATGCAGTCTTCAGGTTTCGAAATCGTTTAGGATGCTCGAAAATGATGTGCCGAATGGCCCTCCCCAAGGAAAACTAGCATGGTTGAGGTCTCAAGTCATCGGCAGTGATGTGGAGTTTGAAACTCCTTTTGGAAAGCGTCGGCTTACCTATGCTGACTACACTGCCTCTGGCCGATGTCTTCAGTTCATTGAGAAGTACATCATTGAGAAGGTTCTTCCATTCTATGGTAAGCTTGCTTAAGTATAATTTTTTATGTCAAATATTAGGTTTATATCTCATATTTTGCAATTGCAATAATTTTTTCACTTAAACATCAAAATTGAAAACTGTCCATTTGTGTTAATAGGGAATACTCATACAAGTGACAGTTATGTGGGGGATCAAACTACAACAATGGTGCATGCGGCAAGTAAGTATGTCAAGTCTTGCTTAGGGGGCAAAGAAGAAGATGCACTACTGTTTGTTGGCTCAGGCACAACCGCAGCCATTAAACGGCTTCAAGAGGTTATGGGAATTGTTGTTGCATCAACTATGAAGAACAGGGTTTTGAATAGCCTTAGGAGTGAAGAAAGATGGGTTGTTTTTGTTGGGCCATATGAACACCATTCGAACCTCCTCTCGTGGCGCCAAAGCTTAGCAGAAGTTGTAGAGATCGGTCTAGATGAAAATGGCCTAATCGATATTGCAGCTTTAAGACAACACCTCGAGTCATACCAGCACACAAATCGCCCTATGTTGGGTTCTTTCTCAGCATGTAGTAATGTCACCGGAATTTACACTGACACGCGCTCCCTTGCTTCACTTCTTCATCGATATGGTGCTTTTGCATGTTTTGATTTTGCTGCAAGGTACATAAAAAGTTTTTTTTTTTTTTTTTTTTTTTTTTTTTTTTTTTTTTGAGTTATGATGTTTAATTTCTGTAGGACATAGTACAACTTTTATTTTTTTTATTTTTTCTTTCTAAAATACATAGTAAGATTGATAATTGCTTTGCCTTAATTATGTGTAGTGGTCCTTATGTGGAGATTGACATGAGATCCGGTGAGGTAGATGGATATGATGCAATATTCCTTAGTCCACATAAGTTCGTCGGGGGACCCGGTACTCCCGGAATTCTTCTAATGAGCAAAGTCCTTTATCAATTAGGATCTTCACCGCCTTCAACATGTGGTGGAGGAACTGTTAGCTTTGTCAATGGATTCAATGAAGAGGTATGTAGATATGATTCTCTTTAACCTAATCTCGATCTACGTGCTAATATGAGAGTATAGGACGTCATATATAAAGTTAGCCTAGGTGATTTTATGGTTTCATTCCAATCCAAGTTTGCTAATATACTGCCTGTGTTTCAGGACACACTGTATTATGACGATGTGGAAGAGAGAGAAGATGCCGGAACTCCTCCAATTATTCAGAAAATAAGAACAGCAATGGCTTTCTCGTTAAAAGAATACATTGGTTATGAAGTGATCCAAAAGCAGGAGCACTATTTCATAGACAGAGCGCTTGACCGGCTTTTTGCAAATCCAAACATTTGGGTATTAGGAAATAATAGTGTAAAAAGGCAAGCTATCTTGTCCTTTCTCGTGTTCTCCACAACAAATTCCTCATTTCATGACTTAAAAAACAAGGCAAGTGATGGAGGAATTTCCATTTGGAGAGAGTCTGGAAACGTGAGAGATAAACCCCTTCATGGCCCTTTTGTTGCAAAGCTCCTCAATGACCTTTTTGGCATCCAGGCTCGTGGTGGGTGTGCTTGTGCTGGACCTTACGGTCACCATCTTCTTCATGTCGATGAGCCTCATTCAATTTCCTTCAAATCCGCCATCCAAAAGGTACCCAATTCACCATTTTCTTACTACTAAATTGCGGACTTGGTTATTAAATGTATAGACTATCATTTCTGTTTTTTTAGATCTTAATATATGATAAATTTTGACAGGGTTACCACGGAGTGAAGCCCGGATGGACACGAATTAACTTTGCTTATCACATGTCAGTAGAAGAGTTCGAGTTCATTCTTGCTGCATTGGAATTCATAGCCATGTATGGCCAAAGGTTCCTTGTGCTCTATGACTTCGACTGGAAAATAGGCAATTGGACATTGAAGAAGAAGGCATTCAAAGAGATTCAAGCAATCAAGCAATGCAGACAAGAATTCAATAATTTGTTGATCAATCAAGCTTTCCAAACCGCCAATTTTGAAGACAATAATGCAATTGCTGATAACACTACTATTGAGATGATTCACAAATATGTGTCTTACTTGGAAACTGCAAAAAAAGTTGCTCATTCTCTCCCAAAGTTTCCTCCTCCTAGAAAGGTTCCGAAAGAGATTGATCTTGATCTAGTGCAGTTCAGAATTTAGTCTTGTTCATCTCTATTTATATATATTTTTTATTAATTTTTAATCTAATGCAAATTTGTTCTAACAACATATGCTGACATTTAGTTCCAGTTATATATTGTTATGTGGAGCTTTTGCACACTAAAGATAAGTTATTCTTTTTTGTATCAGAAAAATAAATGAATAAAAAAATGGAATACCTTTTTCCTTTTTCTCCCATTGTTTGTGGTGTTCTTTTCTTCATTTCTCTATCTTTGTGTTTTCCTTGTCAGTATTAGTCCGTTCAAGAAGAGGATAAAGGAAGAAACAAACGAAACACAAAAGAAATAAAAATAATAAAGAACATGAACGATTTTCGTGATATAGTAGCAAAGTGTAATTTAAACCAAACCAACCCTCCCCAACTATCCTAGAGCTGCGAGATACTATTTTTTTTTCCGGCTGCTTTCCGACTCAGTGACATATATGACCTTTACACCCCTTTGACTGTAAAATTTTTCTTAAAATACAGAAGATACAAGGGCAATATATATATATATATATATAACAAGTCCAATACCCATAAATGCTCTGTACTACAATATTAGGCATCATCTCTTGCTTCTCAAACCTTTTTGCCTGAAAAAAGAAGTCTAGCTTGCTTCTTAAACAAGAGTTATGGTTGTTATTCCCATCTTTCAAACTTCATGGCCCTTCAATCTATTTTGTTAAGTAAAGAAAGTTAAATATTGTTTTAGCCACACGTATAGAAACAAACTTACCTTTCCTTTACTCTCTCTCCCCCTCTAGAACCCATGTTTCTTTTGAGTCCTACAAAACGGGTCACAGCCTATTTGAAGCCCTGACTGGGTGGTTGTCTCTGTCGAGAAAATCTTGTTGGGCTCCCGCGAGAACCCTATTTTTTTCATTGACCTTAGTAATATGTTGTTGTTGGAAGACAATGACAATTATTGATTTAGGACAATTTATTCATATTTAGTTATTTTTATTATTTATGATTCTTATTTATTTTTATTTTATAATTTTTTGAGAGATTTTAGTTTTAGGTAATTTTCTTATGTTTTTTGTTTTCTCAAGTAATTACTTTTATTTTTGCTATTACTTTTCATTAGAGTTTTAGGGTTTTATTTATTATCAATACAATGTACTATGACAGCTGAAAAACAATTCAATCATTTATTAAAAATTCCTCTCTGAATTCTCTTTTTTCTTATAGATTCAAGGTACCATATCATGTGGATTCAAGGTAACCATAGTTCCTTGTGAACATCTACTCGTTTCCACTACGTCGGTTGCCATCAGAGTCTTGTCGTACCCTGATCTGATAGTGATTGATTGGTTTGGCAGCAACCACTCTCGCGTTGATGATCGGGGAGTGCATGCCCTTTGAGCAGCCATTGATATATATGTTGGAGAACATCAGTTGGTTCGGATGGAACATATGATGTTACAAATCCGAAAGAGACTCGCTGAACTTGGGATTGATGGCAACTAGGATAATGAACCAATTTGAGTACTTACAGATGAAGTTTCGTGTGGCCAACCGAATATGATTAACGTTCCTGTACGTTCACGAGGGGTTCTAGCCTATGTTAAGTATTCTAGTGTCAACAATTACAAGAAGAAGAATAACTATAATTTTGTAGAAGCAAATCATAATTCTTAGAAGAAAAATTATGTTGCTTCGCCTTTCTTAATTGAAGATAAATCAGCTAAAAAAAAGATTGGATGTGAACAAAATTTTATCTTTGCCCCTGTTAAAGCTGAGGACATTTTGAAAGAGAGAGGCATGGAAGACATAACTGATGGTTTGATGGGGTTAGATACAAACCAAGTTGAAGAAGATCAAACCAAGTTAATCATTCAAGACGACATAGAAGAGTTCGAGCATCAAGTTAGTGTGGAAGCATACTGGGAAATTACAAGTCTAACGATCATAACAATTGTGAGATGTGCAGTGGAAGATTATTTGTGTAAAAAGTTTTAGATTTTAAAAACAGATCTGCGGCTTTCTATTTTAAACAACTTTACTTATTTTAGCAATTAATCTCATGTAAGAAAAATAAAGTAAAGTAAATAGAATTAGAGATAACACTAGAATTTTTAGCGAGAAAACCCCAATTGGTAGAATAGACCAACTGTTTGTGGGAAAAATCTCGTGGATTGTGCAGTCCAAAGTAAACCGATTCACTATGTTTGAAACAAATTAAGTACAATGGACTTTGACTCAGGCTCAAACCTTATCATTCTATCAAACACCAATCGCTGATAATCTTCTGGCTTTGCGACATCCAGTCCAACAGCTCTTGACTTAAGGCTTACTCTTAATCTTTGTAAAAATGATTGATGGTAGATCAAACAACACTCCTCGAATGCTTTGACCCTTTCAAAGTGTGATCGCTTCACCTCTGTTCTTCAAGATCTGAATTTGATGTAGAAGAAGTAAAACTGCTTTCTCTGATCGTTGTAGATGTAATATTTACTAAACTTTGAACACGATCAGGATTTGAACAACACTCTAAAATCACTCATGTTTATGTGTGTGTTCTAGAAAGAAAGACAAAAAAAATTAGATTTGATTTTCTCCAAAAATATCTCCTTATAGGCTTTTAAGAATTTTGAAGATGTAATGCAAAATCTGTATCAACCAAGATGAAATTCAAGGTTTATATAGAATTTTCAAAGACCTAGATATGCATAAGAAAAGGTAATTTTCATGCATAGGACTTTAATTTGGAAGAATTCTATACCTATCAGGAAGAATAATCAGAACAGAAAACAAAGGTTACCAAACCTGTCTCAAAGCCTTGAACTTGTTCAAGGAAAGCTAAACCAGTTCAAGATGGCTAGCGAAATTTCGAAGGAAGCTTTTGATTCTTGAACCGATTCCAAAAAGCTTGAACTGGTTCAAGATGGCCAGTCTTGAACAATAAAGGCCAGACACTTGGAAAAAATACTGTTTTGGTAAGTTTGAAAATATACCAAAGTATGAAAAGTGTCCTAACTTTAAAACCCATCTTCCTAAATTATTGTTCATTCCTTTTTCGTAGATCACAGTATACCAAACTTGAACAACTTTCTAATTCTGCAGCCGATCTCGATCTTGAAATTTGAACTTGAAATTACAACTCGATCAGACTTGTTTTGACATCAAAATTAGCCAATTACAAAAATTATATCTCACAACAAAGAGTATTGATGTTAGGTTGCCTTGTGCTTTTCCTAATCTAGTGGTAGTGGCCCCCATGAGCAATTCAAAATCAAGTGATAACAAGTGCCTCACTCCAATTCCAATAGTCACGCAAGTCTCCGTGGAAGGGGGAATTGATTACACGTACTTGGCTGGTGGGGTGCATTTTCTTATGTGATAATCTTAATTGGATGTTACCTTTAGGGAATGGATCCTCTCCAAGGAAATTTGTCTCCAAGCATCTACTGGTATTGAATCTCACGGTTGTTAAAGCGTCGCATCAACAACTTAATTAACAAATGAATACGGTACATTGGGACTAAAAACCCACCTTACTGTTTTTTGTCATCCAACTCTCAGATTCAAGGAGCAATTAGTTACCTTGCTACAATTGATTTCCTATCAGTCAATACCAGTCAATCATTCTCTTTGAAAATACGGTTCTTTCGTCTCTATTGGAAGACACTAGTGGCCGATTGAAGGAGCAATTTCAAACACATGCCTACCATAATTGCTAGCAATTTCAAAAATTTATTATTTTCAGTTTCAGTCAAGTTTACAAAAGCAAGATTCGTGGTTCCTACCAAAATTGTTGTTGGCCTGGTTGGAGGGGTTATAATGTATCGACCAATGAACACTGTTAATTATTATCCCTCTTAAAATTAGTTCCACATAAAATAGATATTTGGAAATTACAGTTGAAAATAATTTTAAGGATTTCTCTATAAATCTACAAATTTGGGTATAAATTTTTTTTTTAGACTTTGTGAATAAGAATATAGATTTCAATGAATAGGTGATAATTATATATATATATAATGATTCAACTAACCTAGATATTGCAGTGGGATAAAATTCTGGAAGATAGAGGAGATTCAAATGACCTTTGAGTTATTTGATGTACTCAGATCTTAAAATATTTTCTTAACTCAGAAAAATATGTGAAATCTTCCAAAGCTTCAATTTTAGCAATAAAGATTGATGATAGTAGAGGGAAATTGAAAAAGGAAAGCCTAACGAAATGGTATTTTTAGTCAAACGATACCGTATTCATTAGTTAATTAAATTATTAATGTGGCGCCTTAACATCCCTAGGATTAAATACTTGTAGATTCTTAGAGAAAAATTTCCTTGGAGAGGTTAGTACCTTTGCTGAAGGAAGTGGGTAGGATAAATCTGTTGTGCAACCCTATGACTATGGAATTGGATTGCCTTGCAATTATAATTATTGGCGAGGAAAATCGGGAACCGTCAATGGCATTTTGGATGTGTGGATTTTTTGCTATCATTCTTGAAGGAGCTTATGAAGCATCAAGGTTAAGTGAGTGGTTTAAAATTTTGTTCATACTCATATATGATTCGTAACAAAAACTCGAGGATGAGTTCTTTTGAAGTGCAGGGGACTCATGTAGGACAATTTATTCATATTTATTTATTTTAATTATTTAAGTTTTTTATGTATTTTTATTTTATAATTTTTAGAGAGATTTTAGTTCTAGGTAAGTCTCTTATATTTTTGGTTTCCTTAGTAATTAGTTTCTTTTTGCTATTAGTTTCCTAGGGTTTTATTTATAATACATACAATTAATGTACTGCGAGATAAATTCTCTTTTCCCATTCAAGGTAACCCTCGTTCCTTGTGAACATCTAATCACTTCAGCTACGTCAATTATTAACTGCTCGATTAACTAATTTTACAACTTTCTATTAGGCTACAAAATAAATGAAATTGCTTATAATTTTTATTGATAGATCAAGCTAAAAATTTGAACTCTCGTTTCAACAGAATAGGTCAACTTCGAAAACCAAATTCTAGACTAAAAGCACAAAAACAAGAATCAACTCCACTAACATAAATTGAATTTCTTGAATTTCTAATAAACTTATAATGGTGGAAGAAAGTGGCCACTGCTAATAGTAAGTCCATTCTTA